GCAGCTTTTCAGAAAGACTCATGCTTTTAGATGACTCCCTTTGGTGAGTTTGGTGTATGATGAAGTGACGACTTCCTTTGGAGACACTTGCGTGGCACAATGTGCCATGAAAACAAGAATTGTTTCCCCAGCATGCATGTAGAGTTCACAAATTTGGTTCCTACTAGTACTTCCTTTGTTCGGTTTCTCATGGTTTCTCCCACTTTCTCTCTGTTTTCGATATTTTGGGTGAACAAGGCAAGTTCTCCCACAACGAGTTTGTCGTGATGTCGCATTGTGATGCCACAGTGTATCGTAAAGAGCTTGGAGTTGAGGCAGTTTTGCCTCCAAAAGATCACACAAGGAACTTTGGGGCGGAACAGGTATTTCCTGGGCATTTGTTGTTAGCAGGAAAGATCTGTTTTGGATAGTCTAGGTGCCGGTATTGACATTTGTTTTGCCAATCTTCCAGGCAGCATCAGAGAAGCCCCCGGAAGTCCACATGGAGACTGCGGAGAAAGACCCGGAGGCGTCTTGCAGAGAAATTCGTGATTTTCTAGCTGTTCGTCCAGAAGTTGTGGGAAGTGGTGCTCAGGGGACCCCAAAGCAACTGGTGGTACCACCCCATCTACCTTTTCATTGTGGTCTCACGACAGGGTGTTGCATCGAGCCGGGCTGTAGCTGGCTGTACCGAGTTGTGCCAAGAAACAGCATGCAACACCTGTTTGTTCTCAGGTTTTTTGATGCTCTTGGGAATTAATGTGGTGTGAGTTGAATGATGTTGAATGTTTCTATATGTTTTTATCACTGTGGAATTGTTGAACCATTGGATGTTCATTGGCTGTCCCTTCTACTACTGTCGGGGTTTTAGGTGGTCTTTTTCATTTGCTGCTGTCCAGGCGTCAGAGAAGCCGCCAGAGGTCAAAATGGAGACTGAGGAGAAACCACCGGAGGTGTCGTCTCGCACGGAGTTTCGCCGGAGACGTGGCGTGGACCTTTTTGAAACCTGTTGCACCCCGCCATGGGCAGTCTTGAAGTCTTGAACTGCCGAGCAGCATGGGAACATGGTATGTTGTGCGACTTGGCTACTTGGCTGAAGGTGATATCTCTGAGTGGACGAACCAATGGATGTACATCCACTACAGATGTTTTTGGAGAGACTTGGGAGAGGATTGGACCACATCTAATTGTGCTTTGAGTCGGCACCCCCAGGATGATGTCCATGACCATCAGGTGTGTCAATGACATTCAATGACTTCTGTGTTTGTTTGCAGTGATTTTGGCCGTGCATTTGGCCCCGCCGTTGGGTTGTTTTCTCGTTGGATGGTCTTGGTGCGATCCCCCCCGAACGGCGCAGGTGCAGTCGGTACAGTGTTCTCATGTTGATCAGTTCAATGGAATTTTAAGCCGCCAGGGCCTCAGGGTATAGACATGTTGGTCGACCAACAGGTTTTAGCAACTGGTTTGACTGGTATGCAGATGACAATCCGCACTGACTCGAGACAATGCCAGCCTCGCCTAAAACTACAACCCCACTTGGACCCCGGAAAGAAGAGTACATTCTCACAATCCAGAGGGTTTGGTGATGATTTGTTTTGCAGTGAACAGCCAATCCATCCAATATCATCCAATTGTTCCTATTAAGTATCATTCGCTTGTGAGGCAAACTGCTCAATCAGTTTAAGATCCGCTTGCATGGAGCGAGGAGGTTTGGCAGGCATACTTTGTTCCCTTGCCGACCGGAACTTCGCAGGTCTCCCCGCGGCCCAGTGATGATGGCCTGACACTCAGGGGCACCTGTGGTCGACTCACCTTCGGGTACATGGCATGCACCCGTTCCCGGAACAACGGACCCTTTCCTTTGACATCCCGTTTTGCAGGGGAATGTTCCACTCTGAACCAAACACTTACATAGGGCCCCGGGGCCCCGACTCGGGGCAACTTCCATGTGATGCCTTGGACGTCCGCACACCGAGCCTCTCGCTCACGAACCGAGCCTCGGGCGCGGATACGGCACGGGTTTGGAAAAGGTATTTTCCCTACCATGATTCCCATGATCTACTGTACCATGATCTGCCGGCGTTTGTTTTTTTCTGCCAAAAGCAGAGCCCATACAATATGGAACCTGGATTTGCTGCAGGGTTGCACGGCTTCGTGAAGGGCAAACCCGTGAAATCGGGGTTCAGGTGAAATGTTTTCAGTTTGTTGTTTTAATATTTATGTTTTTTTTTGTTGGTAGCGTAGGTTAGGTAGATCATTTTGTGCATGGATGGGAGTTCATTGAATAAGAAGGCACAAAGGAACAAACTGCATGTGTTTTGTCATTGTTGATCTATCGCCTTTCCTTTTGGGGGGACACCCAAACCATAATGATAGGGTACCACTGTGTGTGTGGTGTGTTTTGTTCCAACATATTTTTAGGTCTACGGTATACCGTGTCCAGACACTCCACGATGTCGGGGCAGTGTGGTGCCCCAAGTCCAGACCTCTCAGTCGACCTTTGGGCTGGCGGTTCAGCCCAGCCACCCGAAGAATGACATGTCCCTAGGGCTCGGAAAGCCCATCTCCTCAGGAGGTGTTAGATCCCCACCCCTATCCCACCTACCGAAAAGGAGTTTCGATGGTCGGTCCACGAGCTCGTCAGCTCCGCGTGAAAACGTCCGTGCGTGCGTGGGTGCGTGGGTCGGTTTGGCGAGAAGAAAGTACAGTAGGACATCGGTCGTTCAGCGCCCGGGCCTGGCCATTGGGTTCCAGGCTGGAACGATGACTTTGGGTTCTTCTCGGGTGATGAGGAGGTTCGCGGAAGTGGGAGGTGGCGCCCGTGGAAGTGGCGCCGGTGGAGAAGCGGGCTGAAGAAGCGTAGATCACATCCAGTAGGGAGGGTGCAGTTGTGCTGAGAAAGTGCACCAAAGCATGTAAAGCGATAGGGCCCCCAAAAAGCAACGACCTATAGCATGCAACTATCTTCCAGCGATTTCAGACACCACTGAAACAAAAGCTTCTGACAGTGATAGCACCTGAAGAGAAACAAGTTATGTATGCATCCAATTTCGAGCCAGTGAGGAATGGATTCTAGACTTATGCTGAATCTCTAAAACAGGAGGATTTCCTCAAACCATGTAAAGTACCCAAACAAAGCGATAGCTTCCACTTTCGTACCAGTCCTAAACAATTGATTTTGACTGCGTCTCACATATCTAAATACACTATATGTATAATATCTCGTAGGTTGTGGTTGGGTTAGGTGACTTGACCAGGACTATTCTCATGAGGTCACTTCTATCGATCTTGACAAGGTCACTTAGAGACAGCAAAAGGGTCAGAAAGAATGTCCCTGGTACTATCTCCTGGCTGTGAGAGTCCCTCTCCAGCACGATCGCCAGGTGAACGTCAAAGCGGAGGAGAAGGATACCAACTCCGCATCGGCACCAGTGACTCAGAACCAGCACAGCACAGATTTGGTGTGACACTATTGGTGTCTTTGCATGTTTGGTACAGCGGAAGGGCTGTGAATCATGTCCATCAGGCGAAAAAAGACTCCAAGACCTACAAGAGAATAGGTTTATTGCATATGGATTGTCTGGGGTAAGTATGATATGCCCTTCTTTTCCTCAATGTTCGCATTTGCATTAATTTGTTTGTGCTGCCAAAGTTTGATTGAGATAGCTGCAGGACCACTCGGGGCAACGTGCAGAATGCTGTCAGCCGGACATTTTTCTAATACATGAACAGTTTGTGGAACTGAGTTGGTGGAGTTGATATATGTTGGGTTCTAGGTTGGTGCCGTTAGGATTAGAAAGAGGTATTAGTATTTGCACAAGACGCCATTCAGGAAAAATCTCAAGTTCCAGCTTTCTTTGCAGTTGCTGCTTGCCAGCTACGGTTGTTGAGGTGAGTATGCCGGCTACGGATCCTTTCTCAGCACCACCAGTTGCTTGGATGATTACCGGCATTCACATCAGACTTACACAGTGCCAACATGGTCCTTTTTCTGGTTCAGTTCATATGTTGGCACCGCGACAGCTGGGAATCAATTCCATCAGAAACCACTAGTTTTTGAGGGAATCAAGCAATCCTATTCCAGCATGTGCTGTGCCCAGAGTGCACAGACAATAATTTACGTGTTTTCTGCAGAATGTATTGCGTTGTAAGCACAAAAGGCATTCTTGTGAGTCGTGTCGTGAACAAGCTCGTGCGCGGTCTGGAACTGTCTAGAGATTGGCAACTTGTTGCTTACCGACAACTTGTTGCTAAGACATGGTCAGAGATATGAGATATTAGCATTAATATCTAGATGAAGCTGCCCATGACAGTACAGTCTTGCAAACATAGAGGCACGTTTCCATTGGATTGGGAAGTGACGAGCCAGCCCAGTGGACTGATTGTTTGATTGTGTTGGGAAGCGGGTATAAAGAGTCATTGGGGGCTGGTGTGTGGTCCTGAGCACTTTTTTTTTCCAAGCATGGTCCAAAGGTAGGAGAAAAGCTCTCCCGGAACTCGA